GATTTTCTTTCTAATCTCCTGAGACGACTCTTTCCTTTGCTTGCTCTGGTCTATGTTGAGTGTGGTACTCACCATGTCACCAAACAACACAGTGACCACCTGCAGTCATATATACAGGCCCACTGACTGATTACAAGATTGTAGACACCTGTGATGCTGATTAGTGGACACACCTTCAATTAAAATTTCCATTCTTTTCTAGGGGTACCATCATTTTTGTCCAGGCCTGTTTCATGCATTTTTTAAATAATTCAGTTGAAGCATGGTTGAAAAGCAATGTCTGACTTTCATTGGTTAGGGTTTATAGAATTTGTATTCATTATTAATTTGAAGATTAAAGTTATTTCTGTGACCATTGTGAGTTTTTCTTTCATTGACTGAAGGGTACTAACAATTTTGTCCACGTCTGTATAACCCCTGTGCAGTGCCTCTCCACACTGGCTGCCTATTCCTTTTAGAGTTAATTTTAAAATTCTTATGTTTGTTTTTAAATGCTTTCACAATCTTGCCCCGCCTTACCTCTCTGAGCTTCTTCATCCTTACCCTGTCTCTCAAGTCAGCTGACCAGCTGCTCCAGAAGGTACCAAGATCCAGGAGGAAACTCATAGGAGGCGGGGCCTTTTCTAATGTTGCTCCAAAATTATGGAATAATTTGCCCTTGCATGTTAGAGGCCCCGTCACTGTCCTCTTTTAAATCATGTCTTAAAACCCACTTATTCTTTGGCTTTTAACCTCAGTGAGACTTAGTTTCTCTTATAATTAAATTAGTTATTTAATTATTTTCCTTTTATGTGGCTTTTATTTATATCTTATGTAAATGTGTTATATAGTTCCAATGCACAGTACTTCGTGTCAGCTGTGGTTGTTTTAAAGTGTTTTATAAATAAAGGTGATGATGATGATGATGATGAGACACAAATCAGTTACTTGTCTTTACATTTTATTTTGTTCCCAATTTTCTCCTTTTAAAAAATTATTTTTCCTACCTCTCAGATGCAGACTATAAAGCTCGTGGTGGTGGGTGATCGTGATTCAGGAAAGCATGAATTGCTCTTGGCCTATACAGGCACAGCCTTAAAGGAAGAACACATACCCAAAGTGAGTAGGTTTAAATACCACAAATAAAATTAAAAAAAACATTTTTCTCTGCAGGAAACTCGTGACACGAAAATTTTCAGACATAAACCAGACAGATTTCAGGTTGCTCTGAACTGCTCTTTTGTGTCACACAGGTTTATGATACTTGTATATCAGTGACTGAACTCAACACTAAAGACAGACAGTACAAACGCACATACATGCAAAACCAATCGAAGTGGGTTGTGTATTGTGTTCTCACAAATACAGTGTGGACCAATTGCTGTTGTTGTGTGTTTGAAGTTTAAAAGTAAGTATTCAAGTAAGCACAGCAGCTATAAAACACTCCCTGCATCCGCTCACGTCCAGAGCCGAGGTTACCAGGAATGTTGGGATTAGCTGCTTGTTAACACACGTGGCAGAAGCCTGAACATGACATGACACATCTGCTTACCTGAAGAGCTGCAAACTAATATTCAGGAAAGTGCTCAGCTCATTTCATAAATCAGTTTGACTCTGTTTAGTCATGCTGTCATGATTCTGCTGCATTTGCATGTTTACTTATCTTTGTTTATGTCTTTTGTTCCCTGTCTTCTCCAGGTGTTTGACAACTATGCTGTGACAGCGATTGTTGGTGAAGAGATATACAGTGTGGAATTAAATGACACTACAGGTAAAAAGTACATCGAAACTCAGTGTATTAAATACAAAAAAAATCTGTTGTATAATGTCTGTGAAGGTTCTCAGTCATCTTAGTCAGAATCAGAATCAAAAAGGGTTTTATTGCCAAATGTTGAGCAGATTTACAACATTAGGAAATAGTCTAAGGAGCTTAGAAAGAAAAGCGTCTGGACTTCTTTAGGTTTCTTGGGAATGTTTCACCTCTCATCCGAGAAGCTTCTTCAATTCTAAGTACAATTAGTGGAGAGTCCCAGATTTTAAGATGTATAGTATGGGAGTGTCTTCAACAGGATCATGGACCTAGACAATCCTATTGGTCCTCTACCTAATCAAACTTTTAAACTTAGACCATATTGTCTCAGTGTTTAACCCATGAAATCTCAGTTGACTTGATTTCCACTGAGCCCTATTCTCATTAGCACCTTTGATGAAGTCACTGGTGAGCAAAAATCAAAAGCAAAACTGGATTATAGATGGCAGACAGTTGGTGTCGTAAACCACCGCCTCTGTTCAAAGATGCACGATCTGATATCCTCGTGTTGGTGTTGTTCCCAGATCATCATACTAAAGGTTGTTCCAGGATCAACATTGCAAGTGACCAATCAGAATGTT